CGATGCTCTTCAAGAGGAGGTGGTTCCTCCCTACCATCTCGCCGACGTGAAGGCCCCGAGCCTTGATCTGGCCCCGGGGCTATGTAAAAATAGAATAGGGGTTATTTTTTGTATCAGAACGCTTTGTGGCCGTCGAGGCCTTTACTTTTGAAGTACTTGTGTTTCCTAGTTGTTTTTCTTATGTTTAGAGCCTCGCGCCTCTGTCACCCCTGATCGGATTTCGTTTGCAAACACCCCTTGGGGCCTAAGCCGTCCCTTGAGCGAGAGAGGTAGTGAGGAGTGCCATAGCCTGGAGGCGTGGGCCGTCTCACGACTCTACCGGCCTCTCGCTTAGGAAGCAGGCCTTGGTCCGAGGGGGTTTTACAACTAATTCGCCGAGCACTGCTAGGGACTTGGCGTGGGATTTTTGCTGAAAAACAAGCTGGAGAATGGCGATGGGACCTAGGGGACGCCTAGGGAGGGTCCCCTATCTAGCCCCCGAGGGAGGCTTGGTTCTGCCGAGGCGAACCGAGTTTCTTGCCGTATTCTTGTATTGCGAGAGGCCTCACGATGGGCTCGGGGGTTTCTCAAAAATTAGACCAACTAAAGAACGCTTTTTAATTGTATTTTGAGGAACGACATATACAATGCTTGGAAATTTAGGGATAAAAGTGACGTAAGCTGTTCTATGTTCCAAGCGTTGGTGAAGACTTCGCCCTTCTCGTTGGCGCCTTGTAGGTCCCGGGCTTCAACACTTGGGCGATGATGTACGATCCTTCCCATGGTATGGGGTCGACTTGTGGCGACCCTTGTTGCTCTGTGCTAGCCTCAACACCAGGTCGCCTACCTTCAAGTCTCGGCTTCGGACGCGTTGGGCCTGATAGCGCCGCAGGCTCTGCTGGTATTTGGCCGAGTGTAGTAGCGTGACGTCTCGGGCTTCCTCCAGTTGATCAAGGGCATCCTCTCGGGTGGTGCGGTTACTTTGTTCGTTATAAGCTTGCAGCCTCGGGGAACCATATTCCAAGTCGGTGGGGAGGATGGCCTCGGCCCCATAGACTAGGAAGAAAGGCGTGAATCACGTGGCTCGGCTTGGAGTGTTCCTCAGGCTCCAGATGACCGACGGGAGCTCGGCGAGCCATTTTTTGCCAAACTTTTTCAATCGGTTGTGAATCCTTGGCTTGAGGCCTTGTAGGATCATGCCGTTGGCACGCTCTACTTGGCCGTTGGTCCTTGGGTGTCCTACGGCTGACCAGGCCACACAGATGTGGTGGTCGTCGCAAAACGTCAGGAACCTTTTGCCGGTGAACTGCGTCCCGTTGTCGGTGATGATGGTGTTGGGGACCCCAAACCCGTGGATGATGTCGATGAAGAATAGCACCGCACCGCCGGATTTGATTCGATTGATCGGACGAGCCTCGATCCATTTGGAGAACTTGTCGATTGATACCAATAGATGGGTGAAGCCCGGGGGCCTTTTTTGCAGGCCCGACCATGTCGAGCCCCACACGGCGAACGGCCATGTGATGGGGATGGTTTTGCGGGGCGGTGTGGGAGGCGTGTCGCCGAAGCGTAATATGGCATCCTTCGCAGAGGCGTACTAGTTTGGTAGCGTCGGCGATCGCCGCCGGCGAAGAGAACCCTTGGCGGAAAGCGTTCCCTACGAGCGTCCGAGGCGCCGCATGGTGCCCGCAGGCGCCCACGTGTAAGTCCCAAAGCAGGGCTCGGCCCGCTTCGGAGCTGATACACCGTCGGAGATATACTTCCGCGCGACGTGGTTTAGCTCGAGACCGTCGAACTTGTCTTCTAGGCGTCGTACCAGCTTGCAGTAAGCCTTCATTTTGGGGTCGAGGCAGTTTGACTCCTTCATCACTTGATCTATGACGAGCCGCGAGTCGCCTCGGACGTCGAGGCGTCGTGCCCCAAGTTCGATGGTGACTTGTAAGCCATTGATGAGGGCCTCGTATTCGGCCACGTTGTTGGAGGCGGAGTAGCCGAAGCAGTAGTCGCTTGCGGCCAAGAATTGGCGCAAAGCCCCAGGGTTGTGGAGTTCGGAGAAATCCACCCCGGGCCATGCCTCGTCCTCATCCGAGGAGTCTGAGTGGGTGCTCAGGGCGAGAGCGAAGCGTTGGCGGCGTTCCGAGGGGTGCTCGTGAGCGGCAGTGTAAGCGTAGGCATAAGAAGCGGCGGCATTTCTCAACCCAAAGGGATATGGGGACGGTGTCGTCTCCAGATTCTGCCCCGCCGGGGTCGGCTCTTCAGGGAGTGGTAGGGTGGAGCTGGACGACTGGACATCGCCGCGTGCCATAGGCAAGTCTCCTTTGTCCAAGCTCAGGCTAGACAGGTCCCCAGCCAGGGACCCTGTGCCAACAGCTGGTCGTAGGATATTGGCGGGGGGTGGCGCGTCGCCCCGGATTCGCGTAGCGTCGGGGTGGCCTTGTTCGTGCCGTGCTTGGCGAGCGCGGCGAGAGCGGCTGCCCGGACGCCGCCTGCGCCTGGGCTGCCGGGGCGTAACTTCATCGTTGGTTGGTGGGGCTCGAGGAGTGAGGAGCACCATGTCATACTCATGCCCTAGAGACATGAACTCTAGGCTCCCGAACCAAACCACGGTGCCGAGACGCAATGGTCGTACGTGGTCTGCCATCCGGAACCTGCTGGGATGACGAAACCGACACGCAGCGCCCCTACCTGGCGCGCCAACTGTCGGTGTTTCGGACCGGGGGGTCCTCAACCAACCAGTGAATTTGTTCTGCGTGCTCCCAATCCGGATGGTGATGCAAAGAGACACAAGGTTTATACTGGTTCAGGCAATCGAGGCCCTACTTCCAGTCTGAGAGATCGATCTTGTATTCCTTGCACCGAGGTGCTCGTAGTAGGGGGTTACAAGCTAAAGGAGAGAAGGAGCTGGTCCTAGGTCTCGGCAGGGTGCCGTGCGGGCCGCTTGAGACGTTGCTCTCCGGCGGCAGGAGTGTGCGTGTGTGTTACAAGGTCTCCCCCCTCCTTAAAACAACCCAGGTCCTCTCCTTTTATAGCATGAAGGGAGGACTAGGGCGGTACATGAGCTGACTATACAACGTCGTGTGAACAGAGGCGGCGTGTCCGGGCCCTGTAGCCTATTCCTGTGGCGGTGTGGCCGTCGGAGTGGTCCATCCTTAGAGTACCGGGGTGTCGTGGTCATCCCATCAGATCCTGTGCGTCGTGGGAGCCCCGGGAATGCCTTGGAGTGGACGCGGCGGCGACCGTGCAAGCCACTGTGGACGGACTGTGCGCGAGGCCGAGACTTGGTCGATGCCGAGGCTGGCACTGCGGTGGGGGGGTCTCGGCAGGCACGAGCCCCAAGATCGCCGAGGCCCCGGTGTACAGTGTCGAGGCCTTGAGCGGGTGGCCGATCATGGGTACAGCATTTGGACACAGTGGTCGGTAATCCCCGTCGTACCCTGTCCCAGCCGGTATGGTGCTGATCGTGGACACAGTGGTAGGACACAGTGGCCGGTAATCCCCGTCGTACCCTGTCCCAGCCGGTATGGTGCTGATCGTGGACACTGATGGTAGGACACGATGGCGGTAATCCCGTCGTACCCTGTCCCGGCCGGTATGGCGCTGATGCGACCTCGGGTCGCGTCGGCCATCCTGTGGCGTTGAGCCACCGTCCGGCTGAGATTGCGGGAGTGGTTGAAGCATTAATGAGACATGACGAGTTGTTGGGAGGGTCGGCCGAGGCGGGGGGCGACGGACCGCGGACGAGCCGGCCTCGAGCGACACGGAGAATGAGGCCTCGCGCGAGGCGGAGATCAGGTTCCTTGCCGAGGCCTTGCGCGAGACGCCTCGCGCGATACGGAGAATGTACCCCTGCCGAGGCCTTCCCTGGATAGCCTCGGGCGAGACGGAGACGGCGCCCCCTGCCGAGGCTCGGCGCCCCCTGCCGAGACCTACCCTGGGGAGCCTCGCGCGAGGCGGAGTTTGTTCCGAGACCCCCTGCTCGAGGCTCGAGGCGAGGTGGAGGAGGGCTCGGTCGTGGCAGGTGAGGGGCCCACGGCTTACCTTCTAGCTTTATTTTGATGTTTGCTTGGGGTACCCCGTTCTAAGGTACCCGACACTTATATTGATGTTGCAAAAGTAGATCGGGATATTGCACATGTTACAATTGTGTTTTCAAGTGTATGTCTTTAATGTTTTATCTGTTTCAGACGTATGTTACAAATGTTTCATCTGGATGTTGCAAAAAGTAGATCTGGATGTTATATATACATGCATGTTTAAAGCGTATGTTCCAAATGTTTTAGGTGTTTCATACGTATGTTGCAAGTATTTTATCTGGATGTTGCATATGTTTTGTAATGGCTACAAACATGTTTTTTCTGGTGTTTCATATGTATGTTGCAAGTATTTCAATTATTTTAAACGTATGTTACGAGTGTTTTATATAGATGTTATAAAAATAAATTTTGATATCACATATTATGCAGTGAGATTCATTTGCAACAGCCACCTGCTGCAGTTGCTGCCGGTACATGTGCGTGGGTGTGGAGGAAATGCCACAATGCGGGCGAGGGACATGAAGTGGCGCGGTCCACGATGCAGGCGCGAGACACGGTATGACGTGGGTCTCCACGTGAAGCAGGCACAGGCGTCCGGACGGTCCAGACGCTGTTCTGTTTTTTTTTTCCGAACAAGCCCATGTGGCTAGTAGTCTCCTTCCCCATGAGTTTCCCTTTGTACACGCTGGAGTTTCTTCGTCCGCATGAGATCCACTCGGCGTCTCCTTCCTTTTCACGGTTAACCTTCTCTACAAATTACAAACTCAGGCCGGGCGCGGGGACCCGCTGCATATCGGGGTGCAAACACAAGCGCCTAAACACGCCGAGCGCAGCCGCACCCCATGCGGGGCTCGCCGCCTTATCCTCGCCGTCGCCGGCCGCGGCGCCGCAGCTGCCCCGTCACCACCACAACAGCACAACCACGTCACAGATGACCTCCCAGTACCAACGGGCCGGAGCCCAGGAACGGGCTGGAGGCCCGCCGAGATGGCCGGCGCCCGTGGCGTACCTGCCGTCCTGCCCCAGGTGGTCGTGCTGTGCCACCAGCGCCACGAGGGGATCGACGAGGCTGCTGCCGCCGCCGCAGCGTCCTCCACCAGCGGCCTCGTCTCCAAGTGGCGCCCCAAGGACCGTGTAATGGAAGTGATGCAGTTTGCAGATGCTATTCCTACTGCTTGTACTGATGTTATATACTCTTGACTATTCGCTGGATTTGGCGCGTCTGGGCTCGTGTGTGGAAGGGGGTGGGATGGCATTCTTATCTTAGGATAGCAATTAGTTGACTGAGCTTAAAAATGGCAAATTCGATCTTGCAGTATAACAACACATTGCTCAGGTTCATATGCACAAAACACAAATGCATGCTTATTGTGACAACTGACAAGTAAAAGGCATGATTTGCATATGATGTTCGTTGGATTGTCATCAAATCTTTATCATGTTCATTTGGTTACGAAACATATATCTGCTTTCTACCAATTATTTTAATTGAAATAATTCCAACCACTTACAATGTTGATTATTCTCTTACATTTCAAACTTATGATCAGCAATTCACCCACTCTCATGTCTCAGTACAAATGATTAGTAATTCATCCACTTTCACCTATAGAGAATATATTGGTTGAAGTATGATGCTTTCATATTTCTTGATATAAGCAAACTAAAAAGAATGCCTTGACGCTTTCATTGGATTATATATGTTTCTTGCACTTCAAGTGCTTCCAGACTTGCCATGGCAAACATGAATACCTATTTCTAATAAAAATTATTTGGTGCTTGTAAGCTCAATTTAACCATACCATCCTTTTCCCCCTTGTTAAGGCATTATCCAGTGGTGGTTAGTATCTCTAAAACACCATATTTGGATGCTACTGGCTGTGATGCTATTAGATGAATTTCCGTGCATGTGCGTTGTATTACAAACACAAGGCATCTTACTACTTTTTTTGAAACGACATTAGAATTCCATTGGAGGCAGCTTCAGCTTGATCTATATTCTTGTGGAGCGGTATATGTTCAGTGAGTATGAACTCTTGTTGTACTATCTCTTTAGATGTTCGATTTCCTTTCTGAATTTTCTAGCTATAGGTGATAACAAATGTGGGCGGGCAACTGAGCATAAAGCCATAAAGAAAAGTGAGTCTACTACTTGGAATTTCACCAAATATAATGTTGGATTGAGTCTCACCAATGCAGGTCTCATTGCTGATTGAACTCTAAAAATAGCCCTGAAAACCCATTTTTCTTTATGCACATCGATGTTTAAGTAGCCCAGTTTATTTGATTGCTTACACATAAGTAGATTAGAGATGGTCTCTGATAATTAATGAGGTACTCCGTTCAGAGGATGGTAACTTCTCTGTTTTTTATTGTTTAATCAGTAGCTAGATTAGAACTTCAAACTATATGCGACCTTTAAGTATAATCAATAATTGTTGTGAACTCATTTTATTGAAACGGCTCACTCTATTTCTTTGTTCCCTCAAAGTGTCTAGATGCCAATACTTGCAGATTGTTCTCGATAGGTCTGGAATGTGCATTCTTTTTACTTTGAATCTTGGAGGCTTTTCACGTGGACTTGATTGCTTGTTTGAATTCAAAGAAAAGGAGTCAAGTTATTCATATGGATTGTGAAGATCAATGAACATTTGTTTTTGTTAATAATTAATATCGACCTATCACACACTTTTTTGGTAGCAGCATCATTTCACCAGTGCTTTCCTACCATATATAACTTGGAGCTGCCATGGAATGAAGGGTGAAAGGTGTGTCCTCTGTTCCTCCCTTGCTCTTAACGATATACTGCATGTTATCCAATACTAACAAGTCCTACGTTTAGTGACATTATTATACAATGTTTATAGAAGTTTCACATCCAGTGAACTGTTGGTATATTACTCCTTTGATCTTTGACAGCTTGTCTAGAGAGGTACATTATTTCAACAAAATGTTGATGTTGAAGGATCAGGTTTGGCGCCTTTTGACCGCTGGCTTTGCTTGAGGAGAATCAAGACCATCCCTTTGTGAGTGGAGAAACAACATATAATTTTTTCTGTAACTTGTATGTTATTTTTCTAATTTTTGTGTGTCCATTTTCTTTCAGAAGGGCGAATTGTGCATTGTAGGAGTTTGGAAGACTCCAGAAAAAATCAAGTATATTTCAGAGAACATGGTAACCATGTGCAAGCGGTAGAGTCTTACCGCCTGTGACCGGAAGGTCCCGGGTTCGAGTCGCGGTCTCCTCGCATTGCACAGGTGAGGGTAAGGCTTGCCACTAACACCCTTCCCCAGACCCCGCACAGAGCGGGAGCTCTCTGCACTGGGTACGCCCTTTTTATGGTAACCATATGCAAGTACAAAGTGTCCACGTCAACAAGGTGTGTTGCTCGCATTCTCCTATCTGAACTATTTCTCAAGTTCATTGTGTGTTACGGTTCATAATAGCACATATCCTTGCTATAATGTATGGAATTTAAACTATTTCTCAGGCTACTAGAAAATATCTAGATAGGGCAGCATCGGTTCATTTTTAGTAAAGAGTGTTAGACCAATGAGTTGCAACATATTGAATAGAAATGCATACAAATTGATGACAGAATCTGAAAAGCCATGTAAAATATTCTATATAGCCATTGGTTACCTTGTTGAAAATATGAAAGGAGTGAAGATTTATTGTTGTCAAAGTTTAGATTGAACTAAACCAGGTATGCTGTTGTTATCTAGTGACTTTATCAAAGACAAGTTGTTTCAGTTCAGGCCCCATTTAGATCCAAAAATTTTTGGATTTTGGCCACTGTAGCACTTTCGTTTATATTTGGCAATTAGTGTCTAATTATGGACTAATTAGGTTCGAAAGGTTCGTCTCGCGATTTCTCACCCAACTGTGCAATTAGTTTTTTTTTTCGTCTACATTTAGTACTCCATGCATGTGCCGCAAGATTCGATGTGACAGGTACTATGCAAAATTTTTTGGCTTTTGGGTGACATCTAAACGGGCCCTCAGTCTGACCCGACTGGTCATTTTAGAGCATAGCTACCATGCATATTGTTTGAGTTAAACAAACTATTTTTGGTGAAAGGAAAATAATCCTACAAGCATGGCATTGTGCTTGCATGAAGGCACTGAGAACACATGGAAAACACTTTCTGATGAGAAAAACAACAAACGTTCTGGTGAGCAAAACTAGTCAAATGTTCAATATTCGAGGTATATTTTACCATTATAGGTAAATACCCATGCGTTGCAACGAGAAAATATAATACCATGATAGCATATATATGAGCGTGTGTTATACTCTTACCCAAGAAAGATATCACAATCATGATGTTTTGAACATTAATATTACATAAGTCTTCATGAAGGATAGATAACTAAAATAAAACTCAAGTTTTGATGTGAAACTAAAGCAATCAATTTCATATTGTAAGAACCTAGTTTATTACGACTATCTAACAATTCTATCAGTTGGTGTTTACGATATGCCTAAGATAATTTTGCACTTTTTAGGAAGTGTAATTTTCCAAGAATTTCCTTGGTATGCCAATAGGTGGATCACAAAGTCATTTTGTATCCTTTGGGCATCCTGTGTCAAGTCAAATATAAAATCAGAAAGTACATTCAGTAGCATTGTATACATTAGAAATCGAAAAGTATATATATGACTATGAAATAGCGTTTACGCCGAAGATAATTTTGCCATTAGTTGTGAACACGGAAGCCAGACAAACTTCTATAATAGAAATAAATTGTTAGCTATTATTTATTTTATAATAAATATAATATAGTTATTATATCATTATGCGGGGTGGTTCAAATGAACTTGCGTATCTATATCAACTGGAATGCCATATGAATTATAGTTTTTCAATTAAAAATACTCGCTTTCCATCTAGAGCCTTCCGCGTCCATGCGAAGCCTATGGTCTTGTTCCAGTCTAAGAATTGATCTTACATACCTTTTAAATGGTATATCGTCTTTCATCCGTTCCAAAGGTGGTATGGTATCAACTATAGTCATACTTAAAGCCTCTTGGTCGAGCACATAAAGCATAATGTTGCTAAGAAAAGTAATCCATGGGAGAAAGACCTACAAAACGGTTGGGATTACGATATAGTAGTATAGTAGCATTAAAGTATGTAAAACAAAACAAAGGAAAGAAATCTTACAAATCTACAATGTGAGGAATCATATTGCATACGAGGCCAACATGAATATGTTTCGCTGACCTGGTTTTTCCTTTCCTTAGTCTTCAAAGTCTTAAAAGAATTAGAGACCAACAATGTCTAAAGTAAAATACAAGGTAAGCGAGACATAAATAACACACATTATTCATTATTCATTATGATATAATAGTAAAAACATATTTACATAGAATCGCAAGTCCCTATAATGATTTGTCACGATGTTATTATTTGTATTTTGAAGTGCTTCATTGTATGCATGTACCCTAACACCCATGTTGAAGCACTCTTGGGACATTCTCGTACCCATCTGTATGAGTCCCTGAAGATCCTTGACACTTAAGTTTATTTGGTATGGGCTGAAGCTTCTTACCCACCATGTCCTTTAAAATATAATAAATATATATAATAATGAGCCAAGAATATGGACATGATTTGAGATAATATAATAGCAATACATTAATGTAAATAAACTGAGTACTAGTAGCTTACTTCAATGTCATATCGTCTGTAATGCACATGATATAATCACATATGACATCTGTTAAATCCTCCTTCCTCCTTGCATGTCCACCGTTGGTAGGCCTAGCAACAAACAGAGGTCGCCGGTTGTTGTTTGGTCAAAAAAGCGTGGCGACTGTTGTTGTTTCCTCTTGTTAGGTGTAGTATTTGGTGTGTTGTTTGTTTCATCTGTGAGTACAACATCAGAAGGGCACCCAGATTGTTCATCTTATCGGGCACCCCTGGACATCCCTTCCATCTGTTTAGCTCTGATGACAGTAAGATAGCAGCCAGTTTCAGCCTGAAATTTATTATATGAACATGCACAATATTGTCATTGTTAATAAGTGTGTAATAATGATATACTATTAGACATAACCTATTTATTAGGATAATAGGATTAGATTAGTGAGAGCTATACCTGAGTTACGTCGTCAGACATGACACATCCCCGGACCAGTACTCCATAAAGTTTAACATGAAAAGGCCACATGAATATCTACATGAAAAAGTTT